GTCCGTGAGCTGAAAATAATGTAAAATTTAAGACATTTTGAGAAAATTTTCATTTTTTCAAAAAATCGACCTCCACCCTTGGAAAAATTTCGGCCAAAAATAAAAATTTCACATGCGTGTTTTTTTAGCTCAATAGATTCCTTTCGACGTAAGAAGGTAACAAATATGCACTTCTGAAGTGTTTGGGTCAATAATAAGGAAGAAATCGTCGGCTAAAGATCATGAACGCTCAAAAAACGCTTAAACTGTGCCGAAAATATCTACTATTTCGAATCTGAAACTTCTAGCATGTTTTTCAATGAGTTCGATGCATTCCTCGCGTCCATGAGCTGAAAATGATGTAAAATTTAAGACATTTTGAGAACATTTTAATATTTTTTAAAAAATCGACTTGGACCCTTGGAAAAACTTTGACCAAAAATCAAAATTTGCAAAATTGCACCACTCAATTAATTAATTAATTGAACTAACTAAACAATTTGCTAAAATTAACCCAGATTAAGCAGCCAAAACCCGAAAATGCCTCCCACTTGTGCTAAGCTCCCAGATATTTACAAAAACAATTTATTCGAAATGGTTTTAAACACTCAATGTTTACACGCGATTCGGTAATTTGGGAAATGTAACGCTGTGTAAATGATAAAACCCCCTTATCTATTTAATGAATTATCCGTATTCTAATCAGTGAACCACAACATCGGAAATCACTTTAAACACCTATTTTGAGCAATTGAAGTTTTATCAACCGCCTTCCAGTGAGATTGAACGTTCTCGGATTCTTCCAGGTGTCCCAGCTAGTATAGAAATGAAAAATGTCCACTTCTATGCCATTCTGGTACTGCTAGGATCAATCGCAGTGTCCGACTTAAGCGGCCTGGTCATCATCAATGAAACTGCACAGTTTGAAACCGAGAAGACCATCCAACTTAGTGCACGCAACGAGTTTGTCCTGACTTATCCACCATCAAGTGTAAGTAGCACAATTGCAGAGCTAGATAGAAAGGCTGGAAGAAAAAATGCTGTTTATTCCAATGATGTGATCAATTCAAGGCGTCCAACCCCTACACAGTGAGAGCCTGGTCATCAGATGCCACCAGAGATCTACCAATACTGTTGGTTGCGCGACAAGCCCGGCAGGTTTCTTCTTGGACAGTTCCTCAGGTCATCGAAACTAGTCATAGTAACAAATCGATGCTCTTCTACAACACTTCGAAGACTCTCTGCCATGATGACATGCAATCCATCATAAACTATGAAGAATCCAGTGAGATTTCCAGCTAAATGAATGAGGGTTTTCAATACTTTTTTGCAGGCTTTTCTGTGGGTCCTCTAGTTCTCACCCAGACCTTTATTGTGGCCATCTCCACATCGTCGCCCACCAACGTCTCAGTCACGATAATACTGGAGGAGGAGCGGGACTTTTTCATGAAACGAGACATCGACTATACTGTTATGGTTTCTCCATCGCAGTCGAGATATAAATATTTTGCCTTTGATGAGAATTGCACGGATACGGTTGTGATCGAGGTGGATTCTACCGACGATGTCTGTCTTACCATTTCGGTGCAGGACAGTGCGGTAAGTGGAGAAAATGCTTGCAAGTTTAGAGGTGTTTGCTTACTTTTTCGATAATCTCCAAATTGATCTGTTCATTATCAGCAGATATACAAAAGTCAATTAGGTTTCTAATCGTCAAATAATGATTTTCACTTTGTTGCATTGACCTTTCTAAACCGTGGGCATATCTTGGTGGCGTTATTATAAAAGGTCAGCTGGCTCTATTTACGTTGGGATTCTTCATATTTGCTTAACGTTTTTGGGTCAAGACTATAAAAAACAAAAAAAACTCAAAAAGAGCAACAGCTTCAATGGATAAACCATTGAGGAAGGCTGGACTTTACCTGATGCTTGTATGCTTAATATTAATGTGCACACCCAACCGAATCGATTATGGATTGATTTCAGTGCCCCGTTATGGACACGAATAAGGACATTAAATATGAAGGCACCTATCAAACGGTTAATAAGAAAGGGGCCATTACAATTGCGGTGAGTAATTGATGGATAAAATCACAGAAAATTGGGCTGCGCCTTAGTTGAAAAAATTATTTTTTCTGCAACCTCAAACAACTGTTTTATTACTTATAGAAAAGGAGATACCCGGCAGGGTTTTTCTTGGTAGTGGTGGCAAAACCCGACGACTACGAATGCAGCCAGGAAAGTTCCATTATTCCGATGATTCGGTCCGCCTCAGTAATGGAAAACACCATCATATCGACCGTTACATTTAATATAAGGGAAAGCATCAGTACTCATGACTATATTTTAGCCAGCATGGGTACTTTGACGGTAGTTGCGGCCTTTGGGCTCCTGTTTACGGGAATTGTGTTCGTTTTCAACCGATTCGGAACAATCTCACGCCTGAAGCCTGAAAGTAAGTTAATTGGGCCGAAGAAGAAGATCGAAGATCACAGAAGTTTCCCCTGGAAGTGGGTTTTTGATGGAAACCTCTCCAAAAATTTCGCTTGCAACCCCTGGGGGAACTTAAGACGTTTCTGGTCAATCGGTGAAATGCGCTTATTGCCGAGCAAAACTGAAAATTTCGAGTTTTTCAACAGTTTTAAGACTATTTACTTTGAGATGAGCGCTTTCGGTCTTTATTCCTTAATTTTTAAATCCCGATTTTGTTATTTCAAAGTGTTGACTAGAAATATTTCTTACGCGTAAGCCAACGATAAATCATTGAAAACGTCATGACTTAGTAAGAAAAATCTGAGGCAACTACGAATCTTTGTATCTATCAGTTTATACAATGGAAAACCAATAGAAAGTTGGCCATGACGCCTTTGACGTTTCGCTCGCACGCATGGTTGTCATCTTCAGAGGTGTGCCACTTCGGCTCGTCCCGCTGAGGCAAAAACCAGTCGGAAAATTAAACAATCAGGGAAGCACGGATTACATTCGCCGCCGAGGCGAACAAACCCCTGAAGAGACCAACTAATATTAAGAGTGTCTGTAGAATGTGTGTACAAAATTGATTAGAAAAAGACTTTTTAAAGATTATTTATAATAATTTCAAAGAAGTTTCAGGAAAAACTTTTTTGGCGGCCTCTGAAAAGAAATGAAGATTCGTATGTTGAAAATTTTCCTCATTTTTACAAATTTTGAAAATATTCTGGTCAGTTTTGATATGAGAAAAATACTCAAAAGCTTTGCAAATTGCGTAAAATTTGAAAAAAGCGCGTATTTAAGTATTAGTAATTATATATGCAAAATCATCGTTTTTTCCACAAAGTCTTTATTTTATTTTTACCAATCTATGATATAAAGCGAAATTAAAATGAGCCGATTTTTCTATGATACTTTGGTGGTTAATTTTCAAATTAATTTTTTTCTGTGAAAACTAAGTTACTTTTGATAAAATACGGAAACCATCACAAACTATCCAGTAGCGGTTTTCCTACATCCGTAAAGGATTTTCGAGGCAAACCGCTCAAAACGCAATATCTGTAAAACGAAAAATGATCGAAAACTTTTAACTATATCATTGGATTAAGGGACTCAATGTCTACAGAAAAGGTTTCATTGATTTTTTGCTAAAGTGAGTAATAAGCAAAAAAATGTTCAAAACATTTTTGATCGAACAATTTTTTGACAAAAATCGACCTCCACCCTTGAAAAAACTTTGACTAAAAATGAAAATTTCACATGCGTGTTTTTTGAGCTCAATCGATTGCTTTCCACGTAAGAAGGTCACAAATATGCATTTATAAAGTGTTTGGGTCAATAATAAGGAAGAAATCGTCGGCTAAAGATCGTGAACGCTCAAAAAGCGCTTAAACTGCGCCGAAAATGTCTATTATTTCGGATCTGAAACTTTGAGCATGTTTTTCAATGAGTTAGATGTATTCCTCGCGTCCGTGAGCTGAAAATAATGTAAAATTTAAGACATTTTGAGAAAATTTTTATTTTTTCAAAAAATCGAAATCCACCCTTGGAAAAATTTCGGCCAAAAATTAAAATTTCACATGCGTGTTTTTTTAGCTCAATAGATTCCTTTCGACGTAAGAAGGTAACAAATATGCATTTCTGAAGTGTTTGGGTCAATAATAAGGAAGAAATCGTCGGCTAAAGATCGTGAACGCTCAAAAAACGCTTAAACTGTGCCGAAAATGTCTACTATTTCGAATCTGAAACTTCTATCATGTTTTTCAATGAGTCCGATGCATTCCTCGCGTCCATGAGCTGAAAATGATGTATAATTTAAGACATTTTGAGAACCTTTTCTTTTTTCCAATTTTTTTCTGTGAAAACTAAGTTACTTTTGATAAACTACGGAAACTATCACAAACTATCCAGTAGCGGTTTTCCTACATCCGTAAAGGATTTTCGAGGCAAACCGCTCAAAAAAACGCAATATCTGTAAAACGAAAAATGGTCGAAGACTTTTAACTATATCATTGGATTAAGGGACTCAATGTCTACAGAAAATGTTTTATTGATTTTTTGCTAAAGTGAGTAATAAGCAAAAAAATGTTCAAAACATTTTTGATCGATCAATTTTTTGACAAAATTTGACACAAAGGTCTATAAAAAGCGATTATCCAGAAAATATTGGTCGTTCATAAAGCGATTATTGTGCCGACTTTTAGACCATTTTTGGGGACATTTTCAATCAAGTTTTATGCAAAATGTTAACTTAAAGCCGCTCATTTGGTGTAGAAATATCAGTGTTTTCATTTCAGTTCATGATCTGCAGAAACTTAACGAAAAAGCCCAAACAAGTCAATTCCCTGTTAAGGGAGCAAAATTACCAAATTGTCTTTCTATATTATTAAGAAACGGTAAACAATTGTAAAGCAAACACATAAAAATCGCTAGTAGCTTTTTGGTCAAGACTTCATCAAATAATTAAGGAAGGTAAAAAGTTCAAATCAAAGAGTCTGAAGGAAATTTGAGAATCCACTGGACAGACAGTCCACTGGTAATACAAACCTTTTGTTTGACTCATTTCAGAACTTTCAAGTGAAATTAAACAAATTGCTCAAACATTCACTATTGGCAAAAACTGTAGTTGTAAACTGAGTTTTGTAGAACTTAAGAAATAATGCGTCGTGACGTTTCGCTAGCACGTATGGTAGGCATCTTTGCGTGCAAAATCCACAATTTTTTCAAACCACAACCGCAGAAGCTTTAATTGTTTCAGCAATTTAATGGATAGAGAAGTTGCATACCTACCGACTTGTTTTCTTCCAGCTTTGGTGATTAAGGATTACATCGAGCCGCTTACCGATGAAGAAATCAACAAAATCATCCTCTCTAAGGACTTGACGGTGGATACATTTGCGAAGTATCCGAAACGGATCAGGCAACGAGCTTTCAACTACTTGTCGCACACTGCCAGTATTGCCCTATTTTACAGCATTCCTGTGATACAATTGGTCGTAACTTACCAAAGGGTAAGTCGACTTGGAGAAAAGTGTTTGGCGAGCACACAGAGAGAGTTTTGTTTCTTAGTAGTAGAGAAACTTATCTTTCTTCTGATGAAACTTATTTTTGAATTGATTGTCTGTACTGTGAATCTACTGTCGATTTCAGGTAGTAAATCTGACTGGAAATCAGGACGTTTGCTACTACAACTTCTTATGCGCTCATCCCGCTTTTGGATTCAGCGACTTTAATCACATTTTCTCCAACGTCGGTTACATCTTTATCGGCATATTCCTGATACTGGCCGTACTGGACAGACAGTATCGAATAAGAATCACAAAGGTGGGCATTTCCACCATACCTGGCCAGTTTTCGTTGAATGACCAGCAGTTTCATCTTCAACCAGCTTAATCACGCAAACATTCAAGCGCACAAGTGGCTCTTATTAAGCACTTGCAGGACAAACATGACAGGAAAATAAATTGATACTCATCATCAATTGCAGGATAATGGAATTCCGGTACATTATGGTTTATTCCACGCTATGGGTTTGGCTTTGACCATCGAAGGCATTCTTTCCGCCTGTTATCACATATGTCCGAGTCAATCTAACTACCAGTTTGGTAAGTCCCGCACCTGCAAGAGCGCTACGAGCACTTGCAATCACAGCCAATTTGGATAAGGGAAAAGTGCAGCGCATTTTTTTGCAGATACCAGTTTTATGTATGTGATGGCTGTTCTCATAATGGTAAAACTGTATCAAAATAGACATCCAGATATCAACGCAACCGCCTACTCTACATTCAGTGTGGTTGGAATAGCAATTTTTATTGGTATGTAGGGATTTTCTCTGTGTGAAACTAGGCCTGGGTAACACTGTGTTGAATTGCGCTATTGAGTTGAGTCCGAGTTAACGAGTTGTAACTCATTGGTTAATAAGTTATCAGTCATTTACCAAAGCCTTACGAGACTGGAATTTTCGCATCTAAAAAAAGGTCATCACCATTTTTCTGAGTAACGTTTTACTACTTTGCTCAAACAACTAAAAAAAGTTATCTAGATTTTTCCAGCAACAAAGCTGAGTCCAAAAAAAGTCGACGCGTTTTCTTGCAAAATCGATCTCTTCATTTTTTTGCATTAAAGAGTCAGTTTGGCCAATATTGTACAGTAAAATGTTAGGAGAACGCGGTCTTTCTGTTTAGAGTCAGTGTTGTTTAGAAATATTGACCTAAAAGTGAAGAAAACTTAGTTTCCAAGAGTTTTACAAATAAATGATTATAAACTTTCGCTTTTCCAGTTCGGGGAAAAAAGACCTAGAAGTAATTATTAGGGTTTTGTCCATAATTCGAACAGGGGCGGATCCAGCTTTAAAGTCAGGGGGGGGTTATGTACAAAAAATACAGTCTTCTGTTGTTTATGAACTTGGAAAAATGATCCTCATTTTGTGCAAGGGTGGCGCAAGATTATTGCAAAATATCATGTTTTCCGTCCCGTTTTGCATGTTTCTCGGAAGCAAAATGAGCAAGAACGCTCGTTTTTACATCATTCCAGAGATAACTAAATGGCCTTTA